GTATGTGATGTGTATTTGCTTAATCCCGTGATCTTGGTTGTGACGTTGATTTACCGAGGTCTTTCGAGACACTCGGCGGACTACCGGGTTTATATGAGTGAAAGTATGGGTGTGTCAACGTGTTAGCGGGGATAGCCGTACTTGATCTTGTATAAATTGGACGGTTCTGTCACATATGCTGCAGCGGCCAACAGGACCCCAGTGTGACGCCACTGCCACCACGATCTATAGGGTCAGTGGGACCCACGCGAAGAGGAGGACGGCGCACCTCTAGGAACCTTATTTCTCTTTCTTTTTCCCTCTTCCCTTAGGCTGTAACCCCTGCTTTCCCTTGGGCTATAAAAGGGAAAGCAGGGCATCGCACTAAGGGACATCGACATTGGCTAGTACCTATATCGTAGTACTGTATTATGGAATGATAGTTATGATGAACATGGGATTATTATACCGGCTATGGTTACTATTGTTATGTTATTAAATGATATACCATATGTTTGGCACAGGTTAGTTGTTAACCTAGAGATGAATAGCTATAATTAACTTGATGACCGAATTATAAAATGTATAGCTGAATTAGTGGCTTTTTACGCAAAATGTTGTCAAGCTAGCTCCACTTATAAAACCCTACATAATCCTTGGAGTCACTTTATTTTTGGTTTATGACGGGTAAGTCTAGCTGAGTACCTTCTCGTACTCAGGATTTTATTCCCATTGTTGCAGATAGTACAGTTTATCATGACTATTGCAAGAACTGCTTCTGTCTCGCCGTGGACGAGGACTAAGCCTTGGGCATGCATCTCTTATTAATCCCTCTCTTATGCTTTTGTGGAAGTGTGATCGTGAGCTGGCACTATATTTAAACAATGTTGCAGATGTTGGTTTCAAACTTTTAATTTGATTCCGCTACTATCTTACCTGAACATGGTTTATAATAACTTTAATTCGTACTCTGATGGATGAACTGTATTTGTGAACTTCATGTAACGTGTGACATGTATGTTGAATCATGTACGATCTTGGTTTTATGTTGGTTAAATCGCGACCCTTTGCGGTACTCGATGGACTACCGGATTTATATGGGCTCAAGTATGACAGTGCGACCGCTTGCGGGCTGCCATTGTACTTGTGCTCTTATAAATTGGTTGGTTCTGCTATAGCTGATATCAGAGCAAGATTCAACATTAATTACCACATGTGTATTTAAAACAAAGGTTTTTGTTTTCCAAAACTAGTTTCTAGCAACTTATAGCTATATATATATAGGTGTTTAAAACCTAGAGTTTGAATCTAAAGTGTGCTAGTGATCACTTTCCTTTATGCCCAGTTAAGGACTTCATGTGGCTAATTAAGTACTAACTTAGGGGTTTTCAATTTTGTCGTCCATACGGCGTGCTATTGTATGGATGCCATTCACTTGAGTGGTAATGTATGGATCAAATGCCTCTACGCCCAAGGTAAGATGCCACTCATCATCACAGTGGCATGACCGCAAGATGTGAGCATGCGGTCTATGGGGAGAGTTAGCTTTGATACTAAAGTGTATAAATGCCTCATATATATACAGAAGTATTTAATTGTGGGTTAGCTTTGATACAGCTATATATGCATATTTATATGTATATATAGGACATATTTACTCTCGGGTAGCTTTGATACGGAAGTATGTATATATATATATATATATATATATATATATGGAAGTATTTAGCTTGCAACCTAAAGCCTAGTTTTACATTCTGCATATATAATTGTGGGATTAGGCTCAAATGAAATTCTTGTGCATGTACACTAACAGCGAAACATGTAGCCCAACTAGTTACGTTATATATGAGAGAATGCTTGTATGCCACCATGTATGCCATTGGAAGTTTTAAATTTTCCTAAGTTTGCGAGGACATACAGAACATGCATGCATCATGATAAATCATTATTATTACACTTGCATTATTCCTCCCCTTATGGATTTCTTACTCGGTTATGTAACTCTTATCCATTATGATGTTGTCTCACGAGAGTTGCACCATGTTGTTCGTACAGATGGCAGCACCAGTTGGAAGTGAAACTTTCCTATTGATGTTTGGTACCCCTGCCCTACTTTGGAGAGTCTTGCATTATACGGGGTATTACAAACCGCTCCTCTATTACTGGAATGTAGTATACTTGGAGGGACAACCATGGTATGAAGTACAGCTAACCATACCAGCTCGTAACCAAGCACCCTTCTAGTAGGAATGGAGGGCAGAATCTGAAGGAATAACTCCTTGGGAGGCTACCCAAGTAGTGGCTTTTGAGGTGCTGAGTCAGATATGTCAGCAGCATGGGGATGAGCTTACCGGCAGTGCTGCTGGTACTTTTCCTCGGGTGGATCCATCTATAGCAGTATGGGCACAGCACAACCGCAATGCATTAATCTGAGACCGGGATGAGAGAGCAGACAGTTCTAGTCCCGCTATGAGTACAATGTTTGCAGTGATGAAGTTGTTCTATACTCGTCAGGACACCTGGGACTTCTGGCAGGAGTCCTAAACCACTTGTAAGGATAGGCTCACGAGGGCCAAAGCTGCACAACGGAAGCTAAGGAAGCATGTGTGCAAGCACAAAAAGACAGCAAGTGAGGCTCGATGGGAAACCGATCAAGCTTATGTAGCATTGGGAAATCTCCACACCCAAATGGAGCAAGTTGATCAGCAGAGAGTTGCCGCCCAAGAGACAAGAGCAGATGATCAGGCAGTGCTAGCAGGACTATGGGAGTAGCTAGAGGCCACTCGTGTCGAGGCGCTCACAGCTACGTGCCAGCGGATCCAAGCAAACATCCGTGCAGCCCTGAGAGAAGCAGCACGAAACAGAGCCAAAGCCTTAGCCACGTAGCAGGATCGTGTCGAAAGGGACTTGCGCCAGCAGCTTGCACATACCTAGAACATGGTGGTTGATCTTCAGCATGAGGAAGAAGTTCGGTATTCGTGATTTAACTTCGGTGTAATATTGGCACTTTGCATGTTGTCTCACTATGGATTCAGCTTTGACGAAATTCCAGTTTCGTTCTACTGGTGGATTATGACATGCATATTAACACGTTGCGAGTACGATTAGTGATCTAATTGGTGATGTCAAGTTGCGAGAATGGATGATTATGCCTCTGTTTTATTGTATGAATTTAAGATTCTCTCCAGTAATTTTAGTTTGGCATGATTATACAATTTATCTGCAATCTCTTGACATCATCCAATAATCACTTATTATTGCAACTTTGAAGATGACTCGCACTCACGCTGGGGTAGGCACCAGCTAGGGTGGCAACGACGGTGACTTACCACCACCGCCGACACCGTCTGCGAATGAATTCTTCGCACAGTGCCTGGGTAATCAGAGAGCCATGGAGAATACACTGCGCCTCATTGCGCAGAACACCGCTCATGCCCCGTCAGCAACATCAAGGGCCTAAGCCAAATCAATACAGCTCTTTCAAGGATTTCCAAGACACCAAGCCTCCTATCTTCAAAGAGGACGAAGAACCGCTCCAGGCGGATGAATGGCTTAACACGATAGAGCTGAAGTTCCATCTGTTGAGGGTTACTGAGCATTTGAAGTCTGAATATGCAACCCATCAACTGCAGGGACCGGCCGGGATATGGTGGACCCATTTCCTGTCCTCTTTACCTAACAACGCACGGGTCACATAGGAGCAGTTCAAGTTAGCCTTTAGGGGACATCACATTCCCCCGGGGCTGATGCATATGAAAGCAACCAAGTTCATGAGACTCACACAAGGGACTAAGACCCTTAACGAGTACATGCATGCCTTCAACAATTTGTCCCGATATGCCCCAGGGTTCATCGATAAGGAGGAAAAGATACAAAGCTTCAAGAGAGGCCTTGGCACCAAACTAATGAAGACCATGGCCAACTCGAGGTGTACCACATACAACGAGTTCGTCAGTGATGCCTTGACCCAGGAGAACCAGAACAATTTGCACGCAGCAATGAAGGGCCGCAAAAGAGCAGCTGAGGTAGGTGCCTTAGGATCTTCCTAGTCCAGAGCTCCAGTGGTGGCTAGGCCACAGTTTCGTCCACCAGCGCCTAAGTTTAGGCCTCCTCCGCCAAAATTTAATGGACTGATTCTAGATACTATGTCAGTAAGTGGGGAAAAAATGTGTCACTGTCTGCTAAATTAAGTCTCTATATAGTCCTGGGTACTTCGGTCCGAATGGATCTGATGGCAAATAGTGGGTAAAACAAGTAGCAAGGTGGACAGTATAAACAATAATTCCATGTTCCTTGATGGGGTAAAGGTTTCCTGAAGAGTTGCGCAAGATTAATGGGAAACACTAACATAACAAGGAGTGAGACATGTTCTGATGAGGAAATTATTGTGTGCAGCTATCCCGCAGGCTCCAATGGGACAAGAGCAACAAATTCAAACATAAACTGGATATGAACAAACATCATTGAAGCAGAACAAAATCGAACATACATTGAATATACACAAACACATCCAAGCATCCGAGGAGTACATTTCAATGTAACACAAAAAGCTGGAGGTTCTAGAGCATCCTATACATGGGGTCTAGAGGGTGGATTTGGGTGCCCACCCAAATTTCGGGGCCCTAGTAGCACATTTTTTGGCTTGAGCCCTCATGTTTAGCTATGGGGCCTCAAATAGGGGCCCTGCTGGAGCAGCTCTGAAGAATCTACATTTTGTTTGACACTGAACTGTAGAAACCTTGTGTTGTATTGATAACAAATTACAAATGGTTTACACCAGTTTGCGCAACAAGAGACCAAACCACAGGTAACAGGCCTATTTCCCTGGAAAGTTAACCAGAAGATGCAACAATAATACATCAGAGCACTTTTTATCAACTTGATGTACATGTATAAATGGGTTCCCCTCATAACAAATGAGAAAGACATAGCATCCTTTATTGGAAAAAGGAGGCATAGTTCTACACTTCTACTATAATGTACTAAATTGAAGTCTTGAAGGACTGATTAGTGTGTCATTATGTAATAGACCAATGAGCCTAGTGAAGAATATCAAGTTCAATAAATCGTAACAACACAAGCCCAAGAGGGTGTAAAGAAGCAAGCTTTTCAAGGTACTTTGAAATAACAAGACATTTACTACAACCATTGCATATAATGCTTAAAATATGAAACAATCATCATCAGATGCTTAAAGAAAATATCACAGTAACTTACATATCTCCAGCCAAGAATTTCTTGGCAGCAGATACAGTAGATGTCATTCACTGTATGCCGCCCAGTCCTAAGGTACCGGTCCTCATTAGGGCCTAGGCTTATGTTCACCCTGAAATGTCAGTACACAAATCACAAAACAGACTGGGGGAAATGGAACAAAACTGCGATGACTCAAAAGTTGTTCCAACAAAAATATTTAGTTCATCGGTCTGGTGATTTTGGGAAAAATAGCTCAAAGTCAAACTACATTGATAATCAGTTAATGCTTCTATGTATTGAAATGGAGGAAATACTTGACCACGAGAATACAAAAGGATGCTGAAAGAATAGCAAGGCCAATTATTTGTGGCAGTATTACAGTTTCTCATGATCTTTTGCAATAAACAGAGATATTTAAACCTAACAATGCAATGCTGTTGGTAAAGCATTTAACTGAAGTTGGCGAAGGGAAACAAGTCAACTATTATTTGTTCCTGGAATGCACAGGAAACAATAGGCACACCGCAATGGCCATACATTTGTACCTCCGATTACAGAACAACTCGAGCACCGGTCACTATGCTGATGATTCCTCAATGCCTTCTGCTCTGCCTTAGATATACTTACTAGTCTGAATCGAGTGCACCAACTCAACCAACAATCCACCCAACCACCGTCTACAAAGTTGATATAAATTATTGTTTTTCCTGTGCTCGTGTGCTCATTGCCGATCTATGTGATCAACTGATGAATCGAAGCACAACAGGTCAGTTGGAATAATGTGTAAGAACCCCTTAGAAAATCAGTATCTCGGCAGGCAGAACACCACAAGGCGCAAAGAAATTTGCCGCAGAACAAACTCTCCCCGAATTCGCAGAACGGTACCGAACTATCCTCGACACAACCGAGATACTGTTGAATTCATTCGGTAAAAAACAAAAACAGAGAAAAAGTAAAACAGAAAATGAAACGCGATTCCCCACGATATGACGCGAGACCAAGTCGGTGATGGGCCAAGAAGGAACCACACGGAAGGGGCCGGCGGTGGCATGTATCGGGGATCGGAATCGGAAGGAGAGGGCGTACGTACACGCGGTCGAAGAGGTAGGCGCGGCCTAAGCGGCCATGGAAGTCCCTTGAGAGGATGGCAGCCACGGAGGCGGCGTCCACACGGCACCGGCGGCACTGGAGCACCGCCGCCCCGCCGGTAGCGTCACGGGGGAGCACCTCCACGAAAAGCAGCCCCATAATGTGGCGGCCGAATCAGGTGGACCAATCCAGGTCGGGCGGGGGAGCAGAGCAGAGCAGGCGAGCAGCGATGACGCAGAGGAGAGGACGACTCACTGCCTTTGCTGTGGTTGCCTTTTCTTCACGCAATGGAATGGACCATTAAAAATCCAGCATACACGAGCTAGCTGCCCTGGCGGACCTGCCACGACCTGTTGGGCCCTTGCATTTAGGGGGTGTGTGGTTTCTCAAAAATCCAGCATACACGAGCTAGCTGCCCTGGCGGGCCTGGCGGACCTGCCACGACCTGTTGCGCCATGCATTTAGGGGGTGTGCTAAAAAATCCAGCATACACGAGCTAGCTGGCTTGGCGGGCCTGGCGGACCTGCCACGGCCTGTTGCGCCATGCATTTAGGGGTATGTGGATTTTCATCATAATTTTTAGTCCCTATCACATCGATTATTTGATACTAATTTAGAATATTAAATATACATTAATTATGAAACTAAATACATAGATTGGAACTAATTTACAAGACGAATCTATTAAGCCTAATTAGTCTATGATTTGATAATGTGGTGCTACAGTAAATATGTGCTAATGACGAGTTACTTAGGCATACTAAATTTATTTTGTGGATTGCTGACGACTTCTGTAATTTGTTTTATTATTACTATCCGAACACTCGATGTAACACTATATAACACCCAATGTGACACATCTTAAACTTTAAACTTTAGCCCGATCCTTTCATCGATGAGTGCAACACACACAAAAAAAATTTGATCGATTCACATGCACCCCGAACACCGACCTCTGCAAAGTGCCAAAGGGCAAGGTGCATGCACAACACATGTACGACGATTTTCAAAGAACTCAATCATAGCCAAGCCCTTAGAATTAAAGTTGCATTGCGAATTTTTATCATTATATTTCATACAATATTTTTATATTTCTAGTGTTAATTTATTAGTACCTATCAAATAAGATGAACACTTTAAGATATATTTTTAACATGAAGTCTTTACCTTTTTAAAACGCACGTATTATAAAAAAATTATTATAAAGCAAAAATACTATATGTTTTGAAAAGTTAGATTAGATGTTTTATATCAACTAAAATGATAAAATTGCATTTATAAAGAAAAAGTATTATTCTTAAATAAAATAATTAACAAGTAACACGTAGTATCTGTAGTCATAAGAAAATAGCATCAAACTAATATGATAGAACTACTATCCTCAATCACCAACGGCTCCAAAATGTTCACCCCCATGAACAATTCCTGTAAGCAAGCAAGGAAAGATCATACTTTATGCTACCACGAGAAAAGGAAGCACAGGGAGAAGCGAAAAATAATATGGACAAGAACACAACCATGCAGATGATCTTCTAGTGACCCCAATGGCATAAACTCATAAACAAGAAGGCGTTGGTCACCATCAACACAGTAGCCAATTAGATTGACCAGGTTAGTGTGTGTAAGAGAATGAGCATGAGAACCTCAACCCGAAATTCCCTATTTCCTTGGAGACCATTACGATCAAGTTGCTTCACAGCAAAAGCATGGGAAACAAAACTCTGTTAGTATCCAGGACTAATCCAGGGCGTAACTATAATTGTTAATTCGTTATGTTAGCACTGTCGACAAACATTTTACTTAATGTTTAACTCAGAAGCTAGATTTGAGAGGATTTAACTTGACAAAATGTCAGAGCATCAAAATGGTTTCAGAGTTCTCCAAACGTCCTTTATATGCACGACCAAAACCTCCCTCACCTAAAAGGCAATCTAGCCTGAAGTTCTTATTGGCTGCAGCAAGTTCACGAAAAGTGAAAGTCAGTGCTGCAATATTTTGACTGTTCCCGTCACTATGGATAATTAGATCCTTCTTAGGCCCTGTTCGGATGGTATGGTTCTAGAGAAATTTGGATGGTTTGGAGTAATTCTGGAGGAATCTGTGAGAGGAAAAAATACTATTCCAGATGAAAAAAGAAGTGGATCAAGTCGGGTTTAAGGGCACGCGAACGGGGCCTTAGAATCTGGTTCACCCTGTGGTCTTGATTTATCTAAGTAAGGAGAAAGAAATTATACACTGAATCAGCAGCAGTTACACTCAAGAATTCAACATTTAAAAAGGCGCATAACTCAGAAAAGCAGAACTATATCATTAGTAGTTTAATAGTGGAAGTAGAGTAAGAGCGGAGCTTTCTCGGAGTCCGGAAGAGTCTTCTGGGTTTAATATAATTCCTTTGTAATTCTTTCATTTAGCATTTACTTTATTCAGTACTTTATTTTCAGTACTTTATTTAGTATATTGCTCTGCTTTGTTCAAGTTCTAGTTCATTATTGTTCATCATTAGTGAGCTTAGGTGCTTGTTACTTGGCATTAGTATCATAGGTTATCTCTTGTTTAGTAGTCTTTCGTTAGTACCGGTTCTACCATCAAATTGAAGTAGTAAATTTGTAGATTAAGCGAGGTGCTTAGGCTATAAATTACATGTGGATACGGCTATGCCTCCAGATAGATTATGGTAGTTGGTAAGTGGTGACAGCATTGTCCATCTTTTGTATTCTATCTAGTTATTAAATCGTAGGGCTCGTGACAGACCTTGTCTATTTAACTCTTCTAGTTGGTATGCGGGTTATGTCTCGAAGTACTTGCGCATTTCTCATAGTCATTTTGTCGGTGTTTTATAAACCAGACTAGTAAACTTATATGATTACCGCGCTGCTCTAAAAAGACGATGGTACCATCCAAAAGACACGAGGATTTATACTGGTTCAGACCAGAGCCCCACGTCTAGTCTCAGAGATGATTGAGTGCGTGCTCCTCGCTTGAATGCTCTAATGTTCTTACAATGGGGGGGTGCAAGAATGGTGGAAGAGGTAGTAGATCTAGAACTAGGAGACGGGTTGCCCGAAGGGAAGCTTTAGGAGCCCTTCTACGGTGTAAGAATGAATGAATGAGAGTTGGGATCGAATGGTTCCGGATCCTCAAGATGGGTGCCCTGGCTACCCTTATATAGAGTTTGGGGCCAGGGCATGTACAAAGAAGAAGGTTCTCCCGACCAAAGGGTCGTATGCCTGATGGAGGTCCTAGCTAACTTGGCTTTCAAGCTACGCCGTCTTGTGGAGCACGTCTGGGCATGATTGTCGTCATGGTCTTGTGGCCACGTCACAGCATAGTGTGACCTAGTGCTACTGCGCCAGCTGTGGCGGCACTGTAGGCACAGTGGTGGTACGCCAACCATCCTGTACAACGTGGTCTCCGTCGTGGTCGTTGTTATTGTAACAACCCAGGTTTTTCCAATAACCAAAAAATCTAAATTCAAAATTTTTTCTAACAAAACCCATGTATGGTGAGTGTGCACACTAGGAAACCATCCATGTAGTTGCACAAGTAGAACTCAAGTTAGCATGGTTTTATGTGATGTAATAAAATCAAATCAAAATTCATAAAATAACTTGTTGTGTGAGTTGCTAACCCTTGGCTTGGACCCTAAGACCCTAGTAGACCCCATAATGGTGTGTACGTGCTTGGCAACACATGTATACACACATAGAAGTCCAAGGTATAGCATAGAATGGGAAATAGAAATAGAAAAGAAATTAGAATTAAAGAAGAATTAGAAAAGGCCAAAGCAGCCAGCAGCCACTGCCGGCCCAGCTGACGCGGCCCAACTCAGCCTCGCGCATGCCTCCACGCATGCCTCACTGAGACCGGCCTACCACCGTGGCCCAGCTGCCTCCCCCGCGTGCGCCACGCCCGCGCGTGGCTGAGCTGGCCCAACAGGCGGCCCACGCCATGCCCCGCATCGCGACGAGCCGCTGCCGTCTCCTCCCGTTGCTGCTAACGGGCGGGCCTGCTTTGTCATCCCCTTCCTCGCGGCCCTCTGCTTTTGCACCGGAACAGAGCAAAGGCGCCGAGGAAGAATCTTCTCTAGGCCGTCTGTAGCAAGGCCATTGGCCACTAACGCGTGGATGGGCACCACGTCCATGATCCACGGCTTCCGTGCCCGCCCCCAGTCCACGCCGTACCATGCCGACGCACCCGCTGTGGCCCCAACCGGTGATGCCACCCCGTCCTTCCCTTGACCACCGACACATTCGAATTGGGAGCGCCAGCGGGCGCGCAACCACCCTGCGCCCCACAAAACCCTAGCCAGGCACCTTGATCGCCCTCCACATACCCTTTCACCTCCATCCACCATCTGCCGCTCACCATGGCCATGACCTCCCTATAAGAGGGCACCCCTAGTGCCCTAGCGCCTCACCCTCGCCCCGTCGCCACCTGGTGGCAACCCACGACCATCACAGCACCCTAGAGGAGGAGAAGGAGGGAGGGAAGGAGCCGAGCTCGCCGGAGTTGCCCGAGCTCACCAGAGAAGAAGACAACGCCCAGATCATCTTCCTTGCCGTAGCGGTTTGGCACTACAGTGCTACCTCTTGCCACGGCCTTGACTCGCCACCGTATCACCATCCTACCTACCTTGCCACCACGGTGAGCCCCCGATGTCGCTTTCCTGTGCTCACTACCGTGGACAAGCCATGGCCACGCCGCCGTGTTCTCCCCCTTGGGAGGGCCAAAGGATGGCCTTTTTGTTGTCGTGATGCACCGCACATGCGTACACACGCACACGAGCTAGGGGCTGGCCCTGTTGAGCCACTAGTGCTCGGGAACGCAAGCGCCTACATGTCGCACCCGCCGTGCTCGCCATGGCCAGCGTCTGCTGCATCGCCACCCTGTTCTGGCCACCTCGAGCCGGTAGAGGTAAAATGACCACCCAGCAAGATTTGCCTCACCGAGGGACATGTCGTGCGCTAGGTAGAAGGGGAAGGAGACCCCTGGGAGCCACTAGCCATGTTCTGCCTCGCTGAAGCCGCACGCCTCCCATGCCGCCGCCGTGTTCTCACTGATCCCAGCCACCTCACGACGCGAGGAGGGGCCGATGATGTCCGCCATCACCCTGTGAACATAGCCGTGTAGGTGGATGCACCTAGGGCCTACCCTACCCC